TTMMMGYWTTTTTTTTCAGTTAATTTATTTYGTCGAACTCAATATAATCCGTAGATGTCAATTGATTAAGACTGCAAACTTCTCGTGAGCTACATGCAAGCAATCATTTGGGCTCTGAAAAGGTCGACATTTGAACCTAAGAAGAGAGAAAATTAACAGTAAATCAGCCAATTTAAGAAGTAGTTGTGATAAAGATAAAGTTTCTCTACAGGAAAAGATGAATAAGGTACAAATGTGTGACTTAAATGTAGGAAATAATTGCAATCATAGAGCAGTGATCACCCAAATAGCAACGCTATAATTGACGCCATAAAGATGAATAAAAGATTACAGGATATAACCCTTTATATATAGATTGATAACATCGCTGTATCGTCTCTGATGATATATGTGTCTTACCTGTGAAAAGCATAGCAGGATAAAAGTAACCAATCGCACAAGCCTGGMCGTCTCCATCAGTTATATCTTTTACTTGTGAAATCCTGCGAATTGAAAAAAGGTCAACGAGTTACTTGTCGAACAGCAATAACAAAATGATTGATCTGCTATTCTTAAAAATCTGCGCAGTAAGTAGTAAAAGTGAATGGGTAGAGTGGTGGTGTGGCCGTTYTATTGTGCTTTTTTAGAGTACTTTTCCATTTGAATGTATGAGTAGGAAAGGATATTTCGTGCCGTGAGCCTACGCTAACGTCGTCCTAAACCTTTTTCTCAATTCAGTGGTTGMTTCCGTGATTGTGCRGTGTATTCTCTTTACCGTTGATTCAAATCATCTGTACTGGATTGAAATGTTTGACTTTTAAACGTGTGTTTAATCCTAATTATGATGTCTAATGAAGTAAAAGGTAATTAGCCCCTCAAATATGTCATTAGTGCTGGTCCCATGCCATTTATATCAATCAAAAAAGCCGAATAGCAATTGCTATCAATCGATAAAAGCACGTGGTATTTTCATATTTGTAATTAGCTGAACAATGTATCACTAATTTCTGATATCTAACTGCCACGTGATGATGAGATAACATTAGAAGTAGCCAACGGGTTCCTGGGAAAAATATATCTGTTCTTATGTCCCAGCCAGCTGTAAGTCACAACTGGTTGTTATAAAGAAAGTTATTTTAAAGAAAGAAGAGCGCCACGTTTGCCTGTGAGATTGTCAACGCAAAAATCCCCGTTCCCAGGAAAAAAATCGTACAAGAACACATGAGAACAGTTATTTAGAAGCACAGAACCCGTCGGCTCCTGCTGACAAGCTTTGTGTTGAGTGGTTCAATACTAGATGATTTTTCACAACTATTGTGCTTGAAAGTCCTACACTTTCCAAAGAAGTGTTTTTTCGTACAGTTGTTCAAAACCCATATATTTAAAATCTTGATTTTTGAAGAAATCTAAATCATTCAATATTAATCTTACAGAGTTTTAAAGGGTTTCGTGTTCAATAACGTTGCTTTTCTTTCCCTGTGATTGTTGTCTCAAGAAATAAGTCACATAAAATAGTACCCGATATAAATGTTGGTAATTTATAAGCCTCARTAGGACTCAGGACCACCGTCCTAACAAAGACGTTGATGGGAACCTTTTTTCAGCTTCAAATCAGGATTCTGGCTCTGGTTTCTGGATTGCCGGAAAGTTAGCCGCAGTGAATTAAAGTAACTTATCACTGCTGGAGGCCGTTCATACTAGCAGATATGTCTGAAATACTTTTCGCCTACATATCAGAGGCAAAGCAGTTCATTACTATTATAAATCCTGACCGCAGGAAATTTTTAATTTTTGCTATAGCTATACCTTTCATGTCGATTGGAAACCAAGTACTTTGAATAATTCATTATATGACTGTTTTCATTGGAGTCTGGAAYCGAGTATAAATGGTGTGATTTCATTGGTTGATCTCGTTTTTTCTTCAGTTTGATTCCCTTTAGTTAGAACACTCACTCGAGTGTTGCAATAGTTTCTCTCGAATTATCTACTGGGTAGGAAACGCCAGAAAAAAAGGAAATGAAAACGCCAGGGAGGGCTACTGTAAGCACTCAACCTGGGGTACACCTTGGTCCATGACGTGACAGGAGTAAATCTCACATTTTGTGACAGACTAGTTGGATTCCACGCGCTATTATGACGTTGTACTGGCAGGGAATCCGCATTTTATTAAAAGAGCGGCAAAAAAAAAAAAAAATAGTGATTTATTAAGATACAGGATTGTAAAACAGTTGCCTGTTATTCAATAGTGTTTTTCTCTATTTTCTGGCGTTTCTTAATCGATAATATGATAAAATGCTTATTGACTTAGTGAGGTTGGGTCCTAATAGAGACTTTGGCTCTCGGCGGTCATTTGTAKGGACATCGAATGACATTTTGTTGTAAGCATACTATAGTATGTACTCTCTGTTCAAGTTAGCTTCCACTTGTTAAACTCATCAACATTAGATGAGCTTGGCGTTAGGTGCTTGGTTGACAAATTTGCGTTGGTTGGAATGGTATCGGTATCCATGGCAACCCTGTCATAACCAATCAAGCACCTGTCACACTGACGCTTGTCAGTGGAATACGTACCTGAACCAAAGAAGGAGAGGGCGGGAGGGATCAAGTTTGCATTCAGTGTACAATTAGCATTTGCGTGGGGCGAATAGCGACCTTCGTTGCAATTAACCAGTCCTTACAAACTGAACATAATAGTCATCTCAACTGACCAATCGTAGGGCGTTTAGCTAGATAGTTGAGAAAGCGCTCAACCTGGTCGATATAGATAAGACAATCCCTGCCACGGCATGGCAGGGCGTTNGATCCTACTTTAAGAATGTGGTAAATATGAAAAACACAGAACCATGAATAACAAAGAAAACCGTGTCAAGCATAAAATAAAGATAGATACATGCGCAATAGCGCAACATTTCGTTGTTGAAAGTTTAATCCATGAATAAGTCGTGTACAACAGTAAGTATGATTCATCAGTAGWCAACTTCATAGAAGACTTCTATGTCATCAGGAGAAAATCTACCGCTAGTTCCTGTATAAAACGAACATTTTCTATCATAACTTTTACAGCCAGGTGGGGCATTGTATGTATATGGACAAAATGCACTAATATTATTATTAATTGCATTGTTCGATACAAGGATATCGTGCCCACCCCCAAATGTTGGGCCGTACACCTTATACCTGAATATGGCATTGCTTAATCCTAAAATAGAAAATTGAAGAGGGTTGTATCCACGGATGTTGTACAGCGAAAATAGGAATGCATCGGATGACTTTGCGTAAGTGGAGGACACTGAAATACAAACAAAGGAATACGTGCTTTTGTCAGTAAAAAGTGTCCATGGAAATCAGATTAATCACGTCAACAATATGTAGAAATTTCAATGTCATTTGAATTTTTAAAGGAAAAAAATCATTGAGACACAGAAAAAGCTTTCTTTTGCATTGTTTTATAATTATTGTCGTTTCTGAAATAAACCTTTTTACAGTAGGTGTGTACCAATATAAAGGGCGAAAAAAATCATTTTTGATGTCATTTTCACTTAAGAACTAGCTCTTTGAACATGACCTACAAGATGCTAGAACTAYGAGGATAAATATTATACTATAATTTTTTTAATCTTTTTTTAACGACGAATTTTATTATATGGCGGTAAAGGTTCATTATAATAATGATATTTGATCAAATAATCTTGTTTTTAGCAACATTTCAAAARAATCCATTCCCATCTATCCTCTTCATGGTTTCTAATTAAAAGCGATTAAGAAGATAATGTACTTACCGTCCCAGGATGCATRAGAGTATCCTCCAAAGATGAAGTTTTTCACGCGAATCAAAGTAACTGTSGGACCTTTATTGTCACACTGGGGATGGAACGTTTGAGTTACATCCCAGCCATCGGTAGCAGCTCTCCAGCATCTAATCCAGCGACTTTTACTCGGATCTTGCAGAACAGGTCTTAAGAATCTTGAGATATCTTGTAAATAGGTAAGGTTTCCATAATCACTCAAGATAGATGAAGAAGATAGCCCTCCTGAACAATCGACAGGTTTAAATAAWTAGCAAATATTAACCTCTGATTTGCATGCTAACTATGGGCTATTATCATTTAGTATTACCATACTAGTATTGCAAATCCTTCGCTCTGATTGACTACGCTACTCGGGGTCTATTTTCAATGAATAGTCCTCGACTAGCGAAAAGCGACAAATTTTTGCGTATATTTTTAGCAATAAAAACATTTAGTTATTTACTAAATAATATATAATAATATATTTCATTCATTTTTTTCCAACCAGTATGGTAATACTAAAACAATTAGATCTCRCGGCCTCGTGGACTACAAGCTCGTAGCCTCGCCCTCTAGGTCTAATTGTTAAATAGTTATAGCCTATAGATTAATGGCATAGTAGTCAACCATACTATCCGAGCAGAGAAAAAGCGATCGATCAAAATAATCGCAATATTTGGAAAGGWTTGTTATTCATGAAAATACAATCTGAAAAATAAATGGAACACCCTATAGCTAGCCCCGGCATTCTGCAAGACTGCACATACGCGTTCCTTGCCCATCCTTGGCAATTTCATAGCAGTTCATAGACAGAATTTCTAAAGAAGTAGACTAAAGTGGAGATTATAGTAGCATAATCGGCAACAGTGTTTCGACGTTGTTACAATTAGGTGAGTGTTTCTCACTTTACCAATATCAGTGTTACTTACGGAATGTATCGGRTGCGCACACGTTTCCATCACCGACAAACCCTTCTTTACATTCGCACTTGTAGGTATCTTGCGATTTGATGCAAACAGCATTTGAGTCACATTCACATGAGTCCGATTCTACAAAGAAGAAAGAGAAATGTCTTAAATAATATTTTAATGCTGATTGGTCATTGAATATGTGTATCAAATTTGGACATCGCATACATGTAAAAATGGAAATAATAGGAAATTAGGAAATAATGTGGATTATGACATTGATTGACAAAAGCAAAACATTTCAATAAAATGTTGACCTTTCCTGGAAGAACAAAGAGAAATGAAACTAACAATGAAAAAATCATYYTATGACAAATGRTGATTGGTTATTGTGTCAGGTGTTATTTATATTTGYTGTGTGTCACGTGTAGCTGTCAGTCATACTTAATTGATAAACAAAAAGGACATCTGCTTTCCCGACACAAAATATTTCGGTGGGTGAACACAGCTTGAAGTCATCTCCGGCACATTCCTTGGATGGCGRGCTGGACTTGATCGACGTGAGATTTTGTGTGGCGCTGCTCCAGCACTCTCCTTGAAGGGAAAAAACACTGAACTGGTCACATGTATATTCTATTGTTTAACGCAGGTGTTCAATGGACAGGATCAACTTCAAAGTTTGCCTTTCATATTAATGTATGATAGAACACATTTTAATTCTTATTTGAGGAGTTTTGGGGTACTAGTTTACATAGCTTTCAAACGGGTTTGCATTCAAGACAACTGAAAACTCAATGAAAAATTCAAACCAAATTCTCGATCGRATAGTCTTCAACAAATAAAAATTCTTTATACTAACCATAAAACTGAATACCAAATATGTCATAACCTAATTCTTCAGCACGATCAGCGCATCTATAAGCGAGGTCAGCCATGTAGGAATTCCACTTATCCCACTTAATGTTTATTCCGCTGTACACATGAGACTTAGGATCGCGGTCCGTTAAAATAAGGAGATCAAGGATTGGGGATCCATCTTGTTTTGCCTTATAACACCCAATGCGCTTTATCGAGGGACAATCGTCTGCTATAAAAGTACAGAAGGCTGGCTTAAAAATAGCTTCTAGCCCGAAGCAAGGGCAAGTTAATGACCGAGTCATTGCCTGGTACAAAATAGGTTTTGAAACTTCCCGAGCTACGAAGTTCAGTTATAAAATTATTATAACATTGCTAGTTTCAATTCAATAAACAAATCCTGTGCGTAAGAATGTTATAGAAATAGAATCAATGTACTGATATTCAAAATTACCTTCTTTTGAAGATACTACCTGTCATGAAAGAAGAAAAT